AAAAGTCTGAGGTGGGTGGTCTGAGTTTGTGGAGGCATTTATGATGCTTCATGTGCACAGTTAAGGAGGACTCAGAGGAAGTCCTTCTGGTGGTGCCAGATGGCTCCTTAGCCGTTGGAGCTGCTTCATTTCCCAGCAATAAGGCTTGCAGCTAATGGCAGAAGGAGAAATGAAAGGAAACGAATGTCCATGTTTAAGAAGTTCCAGCAGTTGTTTATTTTTAATAAAAATGTTGCTTGTGTTGATATCTCTGAATTGGTTCGGGCTGGATGCTTCTCAGAAGCTGGCATTTGATTTCCCAAAGGAGAAGGTGGATTGAGTTAGTGGGTGGAAAAAAAGTGAAGTCTGGAAACAGAGAGATTATGAGTCTGTCATTTTATGGTGGATCCTTGTATTGCCTTTGTATAAAGTTACACAATTAAGGGGATGTGGAAGAAAATTGTTTATTTGTCTTTGCTCTTCTCATGTGATGAAGCCTTTCCTCTATGCATTGAAGATAAAAGTAATTTATACAGACAGAAAGCTAAGATAGAACGAACCTTACCCACATTTCAGCTTATAGAGGAACATGATGGTGTTTGTCCCGTCTGATGATTTGGGTTGGTTTTGTTGGGTTTTTGTGTTTTTTTTTTTTTGTGGTTTTGTTTGTGGTTTTTTTTCGGAGGGGGGGGAGTATTTAACACACGTTTAAGATTATAGGTAGTCTTTTAAATGATTGTAGAAAGTATCCTAGTGTGATATATTGACTGACTACTGCAAGTAGGCTAGCAAAGCTGGGTCAAGTTGGCAGTGGGAGAGTGCTGTGCCCATTTCTCTTGCCTTCTTACTCTCCTGTGAATGCCTTTTATTTCCTTTCAAGTCATGTTGGTTTCTAATTAATTTCAAAAATACTGCTTATTATATTCTAAGCTAATTTTTTACACATCTCAGGCATCCTGGCTTGCAGTAAGAACACTGGAGAGCATTCTATTATTACTGTGTCCTTGCTGGTGTGCGGATGCAGAATCCACTGCTGGCACCAAGTGGCTGTGGGTGGAAGTTTCTCCAGAGGTGTTGGACTCGGCAGCCATCTGTGTTCAGTGTGAAGATGTTGGAGCTAAAGCTCAGAGGGTGTAGGACCCCCTTGTTCCCTCCCCAGTTTCCCTGATGGTGGGTGTCACGTGTGGGAGATGCTTCATCTCACACTGGTTGGTGCAGTGTGATGCCACTGAGCAATTGCCTTGGCTGTGCTTCTCCTTTCTTTAAGATGTATGAAAAAGGCTGTCAGAGGACTTGTTTGCTTGCAGTACATCTGTGTCCTCTGCCTTGCATCCCATCCTTGTGGGGTTTGGCGTCTGTCCCGTCCTGTCCCCCTCCGCCTCGTGTCCCTTCTCCCTCAAGTTTCTTTGTGAATAAACGCAGTTGCTAACATATCAGAAAAAATAGGCAGAATCCTGTCATCTGGATTTTTATTTTTCTGCATTGTCTTTAAATGACATCCCCGCTCATCCGTTCTCTAATTAATTTAAATGTATCTGACACGAGCTTGGAGGCAAGTTTTGAACTTTCTTTACCCGTTACCCTGACTATTGCTTTTTGTCAGTTCAGTGGTGTTTATATTTGAATTTGGAAACCAGTTGTTGACCAGTTCTCACTTGCAAGCCCCTTTCTAGGCTGGCCTTTACAAATGAACACCGCTGTGTGCCTCTGTATGGGAGAGCATAATGCTTGGCTGACAGAAATTAACTTAGGGCATCTGTGAGTGTTTTGGTTTAATGCTAGAGATGTTCATTTTAAAGGGAGGTAAACCCAGAATAAGAAGCATTAATTCCATGGGTTTCAGGCTCTTCTATTTCTTATGAATAATATTTGTATGGTGGTGTGACTCATCACTAAACCTCATGACCACCTGCAGAAATTAAAAATTGGAACCAGTTTTGGAGCACAGAAGGAGGGGGAATGAATGAGTTGGTTTATTCACAGGGTCTTGGGATGATTTTGTACTGTAAAGAGGTATTTATATAAATAAGTTATTTTAGTTCCTTCATCTTGGGTTTATGTTATTTTTATTTTGTCCTTTAACATAGTCTCCCAAATGTGCAATAAACCGAAAGACTAAAGCTCTTTCATCTCATTCAGTGGGTCTGCTTTAGGTGAGGCTTTTGCTGCTGCTATGATCAAAACTCAGGCTGTGGTAGTAGGATGGGTGTTCTACTTCATTTTCGATTAATGTTTCTACTTCATTTGCAATTAATGTTTCAAGACACCAAAAGTACTGCAAGCATCAGCATGTAAATTGTGCTCCACCTTTCAATACTGCTGCTCAGAGCTGGTGAGATCCTTGTACTTGGATATTGGAGTTATTTTTAACAGATGTTATAGAAAGGTTTGCCTCCAGAAGGGCTTTCCCCGCCTGTCTTAGCTCATGTTTTTGACAGCTCATGCAATAGCACTTTCTGATTTCTATTTTCCCTGTAGTACAGAAAAATCGCCAGTGCCTGGTCTAAACCAGGTTGCCCAAACTTAGAGTCTGGGTGTTTCGATGCAGCTCTGTCCATCTTTTTCTTTTGTGTGAAAGCATGCCAGTAGTACCTGCTGGGAAACTTTTGGGCCAGTATGCTTTGGTTTTCTAATATAAAAGAATTAGTGGGTGCCAAGTGGCATCAGGCAACCTGTTGGGGGAAAAATATCATGGGGCTATTTAGACATATTGGTCCAGCTGCAGCTTGCCACCAAGGAAATCCCTAAAACCCTGGAGACCAAAAGCTGAGAAGATGGCCAACAGGAGGAATAAGCATGTTTCCCCATTGCTTATTCTCTAGCTATAAACATTTAGTAATAGGTACCACTAAATAAGATAACTTAGTTTATCAGTTTTCAATAGTGATGTTTGACAAGCGGAAGTTAGTTTGCATTTAATCCTGCTTAAACCAGGGTTGTCTGGCTGCATGGCTGCAAACGTTGGTTGGAAATTAGTGTTATTCTTCATGTACTAACCTTCTCAAGGTAATCTTTAAACTGTAGATGTGTTTTCATCATCTTTTTTTTGAGAAAGCCTGAGTGAGGGGAACCAAATCACTTGCCAAGACCCTCTGCAGCACCAGTAGGTCAATCACTTTGAACATCTCTGGGTCATAGCTGACAATGGGAAAGAAAGAGGAGAACTGGGCTGAAACAATGTGTTTCCTTATTGTGCTCTTGTTAAGACTTCTTCAGCATGGCGTTTGAGAATTATCCTCCTCTATTTACCTTAAAGTTGGTACCAAATGTCAGGAAAAAAATGAAGATGAAAAGGCTGAGAAAGGCTGATGTTTTGTGGTGTAGCGCCCAAAGTCTCCCATCAGATGACAGTAAAAAGTGCCATGCAGGCCACTCAAGCGAAAGCAGAAGGTGCTAAGAAGCAGAATTTGTCCAGTTGGGAGCTGCCTCCTGCCAGCACAGTCCATCCAAATCTCTCCAGTCCTGGCACTCCCATGTATTTCAGACGCAGTAAGAATCACTTAGTATCCCACTGGAAAAGCAACAGAAGTCTGGCTGATATTCTAATAATTAAAAAATATTTACCCCCAACTTGGCATTAGCATGGAAACTGTAACACCTTGTTTGTAAGCAGCCTAGTTGCTATATAGCGTAGCTGAAGAGCACTGTATATTAAAAGAGCATATATCTGCTGCATCTGGAGCTCTGCCTGCACAAGGTTTGAAAACAAGGCTGGTGGAGCTGCCGGCTTTCATCTCCCCTCCTTGATCTTGGTCGGGTGCCTTGCTGGCTTTTGTGTTAGCTGTGTAATTAAGCATAGAAGTGCGATTGAGGCAAAAATGGTTAACTCATCAAGCAATATATGATATCAAGTCAGTGGTACTGTGTTGTTCCATAGGAACTGAAAAATTAATTTTGTTGTTAAATGTCACCTTCTGGCTTGTGATCATCTGTAGTTTAGGTGAAATGTTTCCTGATAGAATTGAGGGAAATCAAAAAAGGGATCCTGAATACTGAGATCTGTGAAACTGAAGTTGGTTGAAGTCTGACATCAATACTTGTAGAGCCACAAAGAGGTGGGGGAAGAAAAAGGAAAATATGAAATCTGGGTTACTCAGCTAGCAGAGAGCTGGTGCTGTAGCCCAGCACCTTTCCAAGTCAAGGAATTGCTCTTTCCTCCTCCCCTGCAGCAAAAGCCAGGAGGACGTGAACTAATGCTGGAGACATGGATTAATGGAGTAAACCTTTCTCTGATGCAGAGCTTGTGGGAAGTTCTGCAGAGGCTTCACAGCAGCTTTCGTAAGGGTTGGGACTGGAAGGGCTGAGGACAAGAAAAACTTTCTGGGACTTGGGTAGATGAGATTTGGAGGTATCCATGAGCTTTCCCTTGCTGGGACACTCGTATAGGGTTTAGAGCAGAGAAGAGCTAAAATGAGACTTAGTTTTTGCAAGACTTTCCTTTCCCGGTTTATTAACCACTGCTGCACTTTGTAGCAATCTTGGAAGCACTCCTACATGCGCTTCTTTTAAAGCATATGCTTGCACGTTAGCTCGGTCCTGCATGGATCTTTGGCTGCTGCAGTGACCTTTCCTGATAGATCAGATTCTGTGGATGCTTATTCAGACCTCCAAGCTGGAAGTGCATGTGAAGAATACCTTAGTATTTTATTTCTTCTTGCTCCTCTTTGGAGACCTGTGAACACTGGTTTGGTTTCAAGTTACAGGTAATCCTCCTGCCTTTTCAAGTCCAGATCTACAAACGCTGCCCTCCTGTGAGATAAAACAAGAAGGGTCAGATACAAAGACTTCTTCCAGAAGTTTTCCAGGGAATAGCACATAGAGAAAATGTTGACTTATTGATGGAGAAAGGCCTGGGGAAAGCAAATACTCAAATGCACTAAGATTTTGTCTTCCTGAGTGTTTCTTGCAATGTTTGGGATGGTTTTGTTGTTGTTACAGTGCCTTTTTATGCCCTTACCCTGGATGAAGCTTTCTGCTGCATGTCTTTGCTTTCACATCCTTTTCTTTATCTTCCCTTCCAGTTTGAGCGGCACGACCCTGTGGAGGGGCGGATCACAGAGCGGCAGTTCGGCAGCATGCTGCTGGCCTACAGTGGGGTGCAGTCCAAGAAGCTCACTGTCATGCTGAAGCAGCTCAAGAAGCACTTCCAAGACGGAGAGGTCAGTAGCATTCATGGCTAATTCAGAATGTTGTGGTGGGGGCAGCCAATCCTGCACCATGATGAGAAATGAGTAAGCAATCTCCATCTTCTTAAGAAAAACATGCATTAAGCAGTGCAGGGACACACACTGATTTTGCAGATGATAAATACTTTGCCAGCAGCAGACAGATGAGAGAGCAGTGGTCAGTGTGGCCAGTGTAGGCTTATATTCCTGTTAAAATGGATGCTGCAATTTTCAAACTTTAAATTTTCTGAATGGCACCCTGGGTCTGGAGCCAAAATAAATATTGAAGCCATGTTCCTAGTTACTGGCTCGACACTTGGATTAATTGGCTGCTGCAAATGCACAGTTTAGTATTTAGTTACTGACTTGAAAAATTATTTGAATTATGATTTAGAAAAGAGTAAGTTGCAGATTCTACACCTTAATTTAGTTGATTTAGTGAGAGACGTTGGAATAAGACACGCATATTAAAAGGATGTGCATTATCAGGTAAGGCAAGTATGGGCAAGTAAGGCAAGTATGGGCTGCTAAATTACTTCAGTATTGGAATTTCATGTCTACTTGTATAAAGAGGGATTCTTCTGTTAATTAGGTTATAAATAAGCAATTCCTCAAAATGAGAATGGATGGAAGGTCTTTGTCTACGTATTGGGTTGATCGAACTGTTTTGGAGGTTCTTCTTCCTGACATCAGAACTGACATTTATTTCTTAACTGTTTTAGATACAAAGTGTGTTTATAAAACACAAGTGTTGCCAGGGTCTAATCATTTTTTGTCCCTTTTTGGTGACTGAACTGGGTTCCTGTGATGTGCAGGAATCCTCAGTTCATGTGAAGCTACTCCAGTGACTTTTTCCTCCCCATTTTCTCTCTCTTTCACTGGTGCTGGGGGAGAATTTTGGTGTACTGAAGCAGCAGGGCACGTAGACTAACAGGTCTCTATTATAGAATCATAGAATAGTTAGGGTTGGAAAGGACCTTAAGATCATCTAGTTCCAACCCCCCTGCTGTGGGCAGGGACACCTTAATCATATCACCCAAAGCCTCGTCCAGCCTGGCCTTGAACACTGCCAGGGATGGAGCATTCACAACCTTCATGGGCAACCTATTCCAGTGCCTCACCACCCTAACAGGAAAGAATTTCCTTCTTATATCCAATCTAAACTTCCCCTCTGTAAGTTTTAACCATTACCCCTTGTTCTATCACTACAGTCCCTAATGAAGAGTCCCTCCCCAGCATCCCTATAGGCCCCCTTCAGATACTGGAAGGCTGCTATGAGGTCTCCACGCAGCCTTCTCTTCTCCAGCCTGAACAGCCCCAACTTCCTCAGCCTGTCTTCATACGGGAGATGCTCCAGTCCCCTGATCATCCTCGTGGTCCTTCTCTGGACTTGTTCCAGCAGTTCCATGTCCTTTTTATGTTGAGGACACCAGAACTGCACACAATACTCCAGGTGAGGTCTCACAAGAGCAGAGTAGAGGGGCAGGATCACCTCCTTTGACCTGCTGATCACACTCCTTTTGGTGCAGCCCACGATACAGTTGGCTTTCTGGGCTGCGAACGCACACTGGTGGCTCATGTTCAGTTTCTCATTGACCAACAGCCCCAAGTAATTAACTGCAAGCAATGTCAAAAAGTTAAAAACTGGAGGAAACCATGAGTGAGCCAAAAGGCCACGCTCAGAGTTGTGTTCCTGCCGGAGGAGCTGCATTACCTGTAGCTTTGCGTGGCCTTGGAGTGCCAGAAAGAGGATGGTTTTTGCCAATTCCCTCGTGTTTTGTAGGAAAAATAGGCTTGATAATTAATAGGCTACTATCAGTAGATAGTGTCAGCGTCATCAGAGCTGAGGTGCACTGTGTGTTAATATTTGGAAGTCTCATTTCTCAAAGTCTTTGTCACCGGCTTGAATAAGACCACTGATGTTTCAAAGGTTGTGTCCCTTTATTTGATCTTTGAGCGAGACACTGCAGATTCAGCTTTTCCAATACCTCTGTTTCCCCTGGGTCCTAATAGAAGTTATTTGATTTCTTATGGAAAAAGTACTTAACAGTGATGTGTGCTTAACAGAAAAGTATCAGCTCTGTTGTTAACATTCTCAGACTGTCAATTCTTTTTCTGTAATTTGTATTTTCCTAATATATATATTTGTATATATATTATTGAACAATAGGTGAGTGTATGAGAAATTAGGCAGTGGGAGTTATTTTGGAAGGTTTCTTACAGCAGATGTTTTTTTCTTTCATGTGTAAGCCAAGACCCTGACATCTGTGGCAGAGGAAGAACATTTTGTTTTTACCTTATTCCTCATCCCCAAATCAGCCAGAATGCATTTCTATTTGCAGATAATCAGATTTAGAGCAAGTCTTTTTTTCTTTATTTATTTCAAGGACTTTCAAGGAGAGAATTTGGGAAATAGGACAAAAAATGACATTAGCAGTCTTGGTAGAAAACACATGATTCCTTAGACCAGGGGGACTGAGACACCCAAACCTCTAAAACAGGACAACATCTCTGTTAGCAAGTACAAGATATTTAATGGTTTAAAGCATGCAAGAAGTGCCAGCCACTTTGCACTGGAAGCAGATAAGCCTTTTTTGCAGCCAGGGCAGCTCAAAGTCAATGCTTATGCAGACCAAGAGAAATCAGGCACTGAAATCCTCCACTTTATCAGGTTTTAGCTCACAGTGAATCCAGCCTGGTGCCTAACTTTGCGTTGTTTTTTATTCAAGAGAACTTGTTCTTGAAAGTTTAAGGGGTTCCTTTTTCCCAGGGTATTTTAGAAGACCATATTCCTTGCAGATTTGCGTGCAGCGCTTTGTGTCTAATACACTTATGTACTTTTGTTGGATCGCCCTGGTGCAGCTGTCAGTGGTTTTAAGTAGCTTTAATTTTGCCCATCTCTTTAGAAACAGGACTGCCATGACAACACTCATGTTAACCCCTTTTCAGGCTTTCTGGGTATGTTATTCAGGGATGCACTTGCAAAGTTTTTTTTTGTAAATGAATGGAGTATTAAACCAGTTTCCAGCTTGAAACTGCAGAAGCTCAATGCTGGCATTGTTTCTTCCTCTGTGTTGGTAACCCAGACATCTGCAGAGCAGATCGGCCGGCTTTGGTCAGGGTCTGGTTTACTCCCATCACATAAAAAAGGAGCAGGGCCCAGGCTATCCACTGCTCCCCCTTCGGCTCCCTGGCCTCAGTGAGACATTAAAGCCACCCAGCCACTTTATTTATCCTGCAATACTTTCCAGTCATTGAACACCTTCTAGGTCACAGGTTTATTATGCAAACGTGTTTTGCAGGAAGAATTTTTCCCCAAATCCCTTATTTTCATGCTTCACTACCCTACTTTTATAGCAGCATAGTATAATTACCTGCACAGTTTACTAACCTGCTGTAACTCTCCTCTACACTGAAAGCAGTAGGGGCTTTGATTTGCTATTACTTGCCAAAAGAAAAGAGGAAATGAAATAGAATAATTTTGATAGTGTGATGCTGGGAGGGAAGCACCAGTAATTATACCAAATCTACCCAGTGAGCTTTACACTGGAAATATAGTTTACCTTGTGAGTGCTTTCTAATGAAGTCTGCCAGGCATCATCTTCATTGTCTGATGCAACTACCTTTTCTGCACAAGGCAACCCTGACAGCCTCCAAAATGTTAAAGCTCTGGGTTTAATCTAACCTGTAGCCACTTTCTGACATCATTATTCTACATACCTGCTTCTGGGAATGGATAACCTGCTTTTATTTTTCTTGAGGGAAAATCCCATCTTACCCTGGATGTGTGAACTCCTCTGCATATTCAGTGGAGCTGCCACACTCTACTTTGTTTAAAATTGCTAACAGTTCTCACCTTCAGATTAGACACACAGCTGCTTTTCTGCTAGGAAGAAGGACTGGAGATGTCTAATATTTACAGGCAAGCTATTTGGTTTATGTCTCCCTAACTGCTAGAAAACCAACTTGACTTTTCAGAAACTAGTGATTCAGGTTGTCTTCCACACATGATTTGGGAGTGGTGTAGCATATTTTTCTGTTGAGGTGGCAGAGGGTGGCAGTGAGATGTAATTCTCCCTGGCTGAAAACTGGGTTCCCAGGTGAAAAGCCCTAATTTTTACAGAGGTGTTTGAACTAAGATGCATGTTGCAAGCAGATACGTGTTTCTGGAGTTTGCCTGCTTATGTATCCTTTGTATTACTTAAATGATTAAAGGATTCAGGCTTATGAATCAACAGCTAGATCTGCAAATGCCTTGAAAGGAGTGGTCATCCAGATCCCATAATCACTATCCTAGTATCCTCCAGGTATGCAATTTCTCGTGATTCCAAATTAACACTAGCTTCTATTATATAATGGAAACATCTTTTAGTCTTTCAGTGGAGACATGAATAACTCACAAAGAGTTGAGCAGTGCTGACAAACACATCGATGGGGAACAGATAGACTTTCATACTCAGACTTTAAGGTAATTTTTCCTCTGTCGACTAGTCAGTGCACGCCTGAGGCTGTCTCTGTCTCTGGTTTTATTTTCTTTTTGGTAGCTGGAAAGGAGTTAAAGCTGCTGCTAGCCTCAACTATAACATTCATCAATAAAATACTAATTCTCATAATACTGATGGCATTTTTGCTACAGAGATTCAGTGTCTCCGTCCACATGAAATCCCAGATTTGTAGGATACCCCCATACATCATTGGTTTAGATTTTTCAGCTGGTGAAAGGACCTTGAGTTTATGTATGTAAGTATGTAAACCTTCCCTGTCAGATCTGTTGTCCATGTGTGCATTTTGCTGTCTCATCCTTTTTGGTCTGGATCCATAAATCCAGGGCTGACAAAGCCTGCTGTTGCATTTGTTGGTGTGCATGCTGTGCAATGTACATCAGTGCTGTATTGCCACATAGTTACAGTGACGATAGAGACAAGCTGCAAATTTTCTGTAGTTCTGCTTACTTGAGTGCACACTTGAGTGTGCAGATGAATTCCCCTTGGGCTACAGCTTTGGGCAGACGAATCATTTTGTCATTTGTAATCCAGGTAATGTCACTTTCTCCTTTTCCTGTCACTGTAAGACCATCTTTTCTCTCTCCCAGGGGCTGACATTTGAGGAGGTGGAGAACTTCTTCACTTTTCTGAAGAACATAAATGACGTGGACACAGCTTTGAGCTTCTACCACATGGCTGGAGCTTCGCTTGATAAAGGTATTAAAACTTGAGATGGACAGGCACTGAAAGCTTGAGGGAGTGCAATTCATGCAGTGTCTTTAGAGTTGGGAAGGTGTCAAATGAGCCCAACTGACACGTTAAAAATGTACCAAAATCGCAGTTCCTCCCTGTAATGAGAGGTTTAACTCGCTGCATCCATGGATAAAGAGGGGTGTTAGGCTTTATGCTTCCCTAGTTTTAGATATAGAGGGGGGAAAAAAAGGCTGAAATGTGTAGCCTGAATAGCGGTAATACTTCAGCAGGACTATTCAGGCCTGATACATGCAGAGGCAAGATGACCTAGTGAGTGTATCACAGGCTCTGGTACCAGATCCCAGGCACACCGCTGTTTCTTCTTCATCGCCATTTCTGAAGTGACCTATTTTTCTCCTTTTACAGAGTACTTGAAATATTGCTAGCAAAGGCAAGCAGTATTATAAGAAGTATTCTTGCAAATTGTGTCTTCTGTAGAGCTCTCTGCGATGGGTGTATTAGAGGCACTAACCATCTGCGGAGATGATGGCAAGAGCAAGGCACAACCCTTGTTCTGTTTCAGCTTTGCTTAAAAATAGGAGGCTTTGCCTAGAAGTAAGAGCTGTATGGCCAGCTACTGCATTTCTGATCTGAAATGCAAGTGATGGCAACCACCTTTGGATGTCTCAGCATTATGGAGGGAAGCAGGGGAAGCATTAAAACGCCATAGAGGTCCCAAACTAAGCACTGAAGTCTACTCAGAGCAGGCTCAGATAACCCACAGTCCAGAGGCTGCATGTGGCCAGAGGAGCTGGCTGAATAAACCTCAGGGCTGGTGTTTCCAGGGGACCTTGGTAATACCATGGCTTATTGATCAGACCAATACATATCCTTCTTCATCTCATCATGTGTTTTCTGAGCTAATCCATATCAGGTTTGTTCTCAGATCCAACACACTGATTAAAAAAAAAAAAAAGAAATATTTAAACAAAAAATATCCCAGCTCTCTGCTGCCAGGATCTGTCGCAAGTGCTTTCTTTTGTTTTCTTCTTTTAAGAGATGCTTTTTTTAAGCGCTGAGACTGGGAGTATAAAAAAAAAAAAGGATGGCAAACTCGTTAGAAGTTTTTTAGGCTAAGTGGAAACCTTGTCTAGTGGAAAGTTAAAACTGATTTATTTGGGCAGCTGCAAAACTGGAAGTAAGCTATTCTTCCAACTGCTGCTGTTGTGGGAATATTAAGACATTAATAGGTTTTGGGGCAGTGGAATTACAAAGGGAGTCAAATGTGAACAGACCTTCTTACTTTTGACTTTTTATGGGGGAAATCATCTGTACTCTTTGTTTTAGTTCACCATTATCTTAAGACAAAGTTAAAAGAAGCCGGTAGGATTTTCTTTCATTTAAAAGCAAAATATGAAGTACAGATGTGCTCCTTTCTGCAGTGTCCCACAAGGAGGTAATAGCCCAGCAAATCCAATTTACTTAGTGTCAACAGTAAATTAGCAGTTGCCCAATTGTGGAATATGTTTGCGTGGAGTATTTAGGTCCACATGCAGTTGGTAAATCAGTGTGATTTGCTGTTTAATTATGTGCAATTAATGAGCTTCTGCTGGAGCCACAGCCATTGAGCTGGGAGGATTTGGCTGGAGTGAGTAAACCATGGGGAGGGTTGGTGGTGTGCAGGGCATGGCTTCAAGCCACTTATGGGCTTGGCTCTCCCCAGACCCCTGTCCCTGCCTGCAGGGTCCCAGCTTTCATGAGAGATTTTTTTTCGGGCTCATGCAGGAGAAAAGGGTTATTCTATAAATCACCTCCTTGCATGTGTCTGGTAGCTGACGTATATCACCCTCGCATCCTTCTATCCTGCTCAACCCAGAGATGATCTGGGCAGGAGATATGAAGAGAGAGTTTTGCTGTGGTCTGACTGAAGGTGCAAAGCAAGCTGCAGTAGTACACCTCGGTGATCCCTTTGAAGTAGGCATCTGTCTGCTCTCATGCCTAAATTGTCTGTGCATTACCCATTTCCATATGTGTGCACTCTGAGTCTGGATATTGCACACACAAATCAAATAAGCAATAATTGGAGTGTGCTCTTGCAAAAATCAAGCTTTCATAAAGTTGCTTATTAAAAACCAAGAAATGTAAAAATTACTTATCATATAGGGAGGAGGAAGTGTATTAAATGAATTGCTGCTAACCTAATGCACCAAACATTAGGTTTTTAGAAACATAATCAGGTTAGCACCAAATACTTTTAGAAGGGCCATTTAAAATTTAAGAGTTAAAAAAAAAGGATAGCATCAGACATTGCACCATAGATTTGCAGTGTTCCGGGCTTGGGGCAGAGTGGCTGGAAAGCTGCTTAGCAGAAAAGGGACCAGGGGTGTTGACTGACAGCCACTGAGCATGAGCCAGCTTGTGCCCAGGCAGCCAAGAAGGCCAACAGCATCCTGCCCTGTATCTGCAGTAGTGTGGCCAGCAGGGCCAGGGCAGTGATCATCCCCTTCTGCTCAGCACTGGTGAGACTGCACCTTGAATACTGTGTTCAGTTCTGGGCTCCTCACTACAAGGAAGACATTGAGGTGCTGGAGCAGGTCCATAGAAGGGCAACAAAGATGGTGGTGAAGGGTCTGGAGCACAAGTCTTATTGAGAGAGGCTGAGAGAACTGGGGTTGTTTAGTCTGGAGAAGAGAAGGATAGGGGACCTTATCGTTGCCTGCAACAACTACCTGAAAGGAGGTTGAAGTGAGGTGGGAGTCAGTCTCTTTTCCCAAGTAACAAGGGATAGAACAAAAGATAATGGCCTCAAACTGCACCAGGGGAGGTTTAGGCTGGATATTAGGGAAGATTTCTTCACAGAGAGGGTAGTCGGGCATTGGAACAGGCTTTCCAGGGCAGCATTGAAAAACCGTGTAGATGAGGCCCTCAGTGACATGGTTTAGTGGTGATCTTGGCAGTCCTGGGGTAATAGTGGGATTTGATGATCTTAAAGGTCTTCTCCAACCGAGCTGATTCAGTGAAACATCCATAGGTTGACAACCTGGGTTTTGTGTTGAATTAAAGTAGCAGCTTCTTCTAAAAAGGGTCATAAAGCTGTATTTTAATGACCCACAGAATAACACACAGATTATTTGTCAGTCAGTCTTTCATTTTACCAGAAACACAATAGCTGAGATTCTCTTAAATCAGAAGCATTACTTGGAAAACTTTCCCAGCATGGGCTTACAGCTGGCAGCAGGACAGGAGCTGAATTTGTCACTTATTCCCCTTTTGAGGCGAGGGTGTGAATTGCACTTTTTTTTGGCACCATCTGCAGCCAGACTTTCCAAGCAGCCATTCTGCTGGCACCGGCAGAGAGCCATAATATAACTCCTTTGTGTTTTAGGATAAGGCACAGATGTGTTCTGCTGGAGGTGGGCCAAAGCAAGGGGAGATGGCTGAGCCCACTGCTCGCTCCAGTGGCAAAGCTGGCTTGGTGTTGGGCTGGAGCCCAGGACAGGTTAATGGAAGATCATTTTATTTGAAGTATGGAGTTTGAAAAAGCTGCAGACTTGACAGGGAATTTGAAGGGAGGTAGATGTGAGTTTTGAGTGCAGCAGGTATTTGTCATTGAATTGCTGCTTACTTTAATCTGCCTTCAAGGCTGGATGAAAGAAGTCAGTGCCCCATGGAGGCGCAGCTCATATTGCTCCTCTGGAGTAATGGCACGTGGTCAATGCTGGTTGTTTGCGTGGGGAGGACTTCTGTAGAGTAGGTAAATTTGGCAGGGATCTCTTGAGGCCCTCTAGTTGAACAGGGTCACCTACAGCAGCTTGCCCAGGGCCCCCTACAGTCAGGTTTCGGATCTCTCCAAGGATGAAAATATTACAGCCTCTCATGGTTAGTAAAAAAGCCTGGATGAGTATTTAAGGTAATTTGTGAAGAGCTGAGTAATGAAATCTAGTGTCCTGCAGAGGTAAGACAATGTCATGGGTTGCCACCTTTGCTGCCCTCAGACCAGTGCACTGATGCATATATGTGTGCATCCTGATGGAGAGGGACCACGGAAGTGCTCAGCACCACGTCCTTCGGCAAGAGTGCTCCAGAACTCATCTGCCCCTTTGGTTTTAGTACATGCACAATTGCTGTGCAGTGTTTGCTGAGCACTGATGCAATGAGTTGTTGTGTTGCTGTTACAGCAGAGGATGTCTGTCCGCAAGGATGTAAGAAATTGGCTCACTAATCCCAAGGACAGGCTCTCCATAAATCTCCAGCCCCTGGAAAATGCTGAGTACCTCTCAGTTTAGAAACCACTTTGTGTTGGAATCTCCTTTTTTTACTTATATATGACTGTGACTATCACATAAGCAGTGGATTTGTGCCTTTGGTCTGGTAGCTCTGCTTTTGTCCCCAGAAGCATGATCTCCATGACTTTCCATGATGCTCCTTTTCATGTCAAAGGAGTTTCTACTCAGCTGCAGGGCTGCAGCCTTGCATTTTGAGAAGAAAAACATGCTGTGCCACAGGATTGCATAGGGTTTATACATCTCTCTTCTGAAAGGACATTTCAGTACATACACATGCAAATGATTTGAAAAGGTTAAATAGAGTTTTACTAGCTCTGTTGTTAATGATGGCATCCAACTTTTCCAGCTGGGATGCTTAAAATGAAACGTGCCTATCAATGTGAGACCCTAAATAGCCTGATTTCTGGAAACCCAAAACACACATCCTGCCTCTGCAGTGTGGGACCACCCAAGGCAGGGAGCCCTGCTCGCATCACCCTGGGTGCCATTCTGGAAATGGCAGCAACCCAGCTGCCCATTATTTTGGCCAAATGTGTGATTAATCTCAAGACAGAGGAAAAAACATGAAGTTTGTCACCTGGCAAGGCTCTCCCTCATTGAAAAATGGTGTTTGTAAGCACTTAGTGAGTCATTGCTTGCTCTGTGGTTCTGGGAATTGGAGTGGAAAAAAAAGATAACACACTAAAAATGCATAAAATAACTCAGATTGCTTATTAAAGGAACCAGTGGGAGACACCAACACTTGCAATTTCGGTGGTGGACTGTTAAAGCCCTTTTTGGAGGGCTGCTGCCATCTAATGCACCTACTTGCTTGTGCTGTGGTTCATTCAGTCATGTTGCATCTTGGCGGCAAATCTGTGTGTCTTCAAAAACAGAGGGATGCATGGATGTGATGGCTTGTCCCTGTGCTTAAAACATTGATTCACCCTTTTCCTTTACTATCCAGCTGTGCCACAGGTGTAGCACCGTACATTCTGCAGCCTGGCTGGTGCAGGTGGGTTGGGAGAGACACGCAGTCTCACCTCGGCTTGTTTGGCAAGGTTTGGGCATAAGGCTGGGGAACAAAATTAATTCAAGTCGTCTTTAATGATTCCATTGCCTCTGCCCTCCTCAAAGCAAGCTCTGGCTGCCAGTAGGACACACACAGAAGCAGCAGCTGTATCCTGACTTACAGTGACAGAACTGAAATACAGAATAATAACTGCAGATCAGTGCTACATCTATCATATAGGAAAGGACTTTAACTCAAAAAGAACAATTACAGGAAACAGCGGGTGCCTACTTGAGATCATTTATATTTTAATCCACCTTTTGTTTAATTTCAGTTTTCTCCTGCACTAGGGATTTTACAGGGAGAAAGGACCTGATGGTGGCTGTGGGTTCTTCGTGGATAACCCCAAAACTCACTTAGGGAAGCAGAAATGGGATGGAAGAAACCAATAATCTGAACATTCATTGAAAGAAAAAAAAAAGGAAAAACAAAAACAAAAACCCCAACCACACAAACCCCACACTATTAGAAACATTTTATGCAGGTTCTATTTAATCCTGTTATGGTGCAGATCAGCTGCTTATTCTTGACTTTCTGACACATAACTCTTCAAAATTTCTGAAGGGCAGAGTACATGAACCCAGAAGGATGCTGTGGATGAAAGCAGATGCTTTATTTGGTCTCAGTCTGATTTTGTGTCGTGCCACTTCACTCTTTTGCCTTGCTGAATGAAGGGGAGCTCTGCAGCTAAACATTCATCCTAGTTCCTGTGGGCTTGCTGCTGCAGTGCAAAGCCTCTGTGGATAGGGTTTCCTTGGGTCAGAATTCATAGGGAAACAATTTAACAAAATACATTCACATCCATGCAAAGCCCTTCCATTTTATTGGGTTGTGCAAAGCCCTTTTGTTTTATCAGGTGTCTGGAACGGAGCAGACTGTTTCAAGCCTGACAAAAGTGACAGCTGAGCTACTCTTACCTCCCCTCCTTCCTTAATTAGCAGCCATCAGAAACAAACTAGAGGGCAGCCAGACATGCACAAATACCTGTAAGGAAACAGCTAAAACAGCCCAGTGAGTTTGAGGTTTTTTCTTTCTTTATGCAGCAAAACCTACTGCATAACCCTGCCAGACTGATAGCTCCATGGCTTGCTCTTTTCTAGAGGTGTGAATAAAACTACTGCTCGCCTCTTTGCTGATGAGCTCAGCTGCCAGTCTGAGGTGGGGGAAGTGAAATAACTTGTTACAACTCTTTATTTTATTGCAAGGTTGACTGTGTCTGCTTGTTGCAGAGCCTGTCACATGAGCCCATAGTCACAGGGAGACCATGGATGGGTTCATTCTGCAGTTATTGGCCCTGAGTTGCTTAACAGGAAGACTGGTTGTTATTACTCCCAACCTGTTGGAATACTTGGTTCATAGACTATCATCTTTGTAGTTCAGTAGGAAGGAGCCGCCTTGTTGATCAAGCCCATCTGGAGAGGTTTTCCACGTGGTGTTTGACAGGGTGCAAACTCCAATTTTATAACTTAATTTGGGGGGAAAATGTTTCATCTCTGTTTTTAACGTTTATGTTCAACACAGGTATCAGCACACTGGTGCTTACCAGTAGCATAACACCCCAGGCAGTGTAGCATTATGAAGGCAAAGGCTTTGAGGAGCGTGATTTTGAGGCATGTATTAAATGGGCCGGGGACGAAGCTTATTTCAAGCCTCTTTGAACACGACACACTTTTGTAAAGGCAGTTTTCTGTGGAGGAAAAACGAGTCTTCTGCTCCTCTGCCTGTGTTTGCTGCAGTTGGCAGATCACATCTCGCTAACCTTGTGCCCTCTCTCCATTGCAGTGACAATGCAGCAAGTGGCCAAGACAGTAGCCAAGGTGGAGCTCTCCGACCATGTGTGCGACGTGGTGTTTGCACTCTTTGACTGTGATGGTGAGTGACCTCAACCTTGCCCCATTCTCCTGCCCTTCTGGGAAGGGTATTTGATGATACCCAGCTTCCAAGACGTTGATCTTAAAGCACTGGATGCGCAGGTTCCACCCCCACTCCCAAACTCTGTTTTGTTTAACAAAATGAGCTATTGTGCTCCAGTGTTGGAAATGAGCCTGTCTAGTGTTTTGTTATCTCCAAAGTCCTGGACAAATAGCTTAATTAATGGCAGCTCTGTGCTTTGCTGGGAAGCTTGTTGCCTTGCTGGCCCATAGAGGATGTGAGCACTTTGGGGTAGCTTGTTGCCACACTGAAGCAGTCTTGGGTTGGGAATTCATGAGAATTGTACTTCATAAGCATTAGTGAAGTCTTTGCCACCAGGGGATGGTGGCAGCAATTCAGACTTGGAAAGTACCAAAATTCTGCATTTGCCCAGAACTGTCAAGCCAAAACCAGAGACCTTGCTGGCATCCTGATTCTTCAGCAAGGTCATAGGGATCTGACAGCTCTGAGTGGCAGCAGTGATACATAAATAGACGGGTTTTTTGCATTCTGATATATAAATATTAGCATTTTAAAAGAATTTTTATTTTATTCTTTATTGTCCCTCTGGGTTTCAGCACCACCTGCTTCTTTGCACCTTTCTAAGGTTGCATCTCTTGTTTTATGCTCTCTGCTTCAGTGCTGAAGAAGTGAACCAAGGATTCTTATCTCCTAAGAGAATCTGCTAAATATTTTGATAGCAAACCTTTGGGGGAAAAGACTGTGGTTGCCAAAGGAGTCCCTGAAAGGAAAGAATCAAGTGGAAAAGCAGGCACAAACCTCCTTTGTGTGTTTTCACTCTCTCAATGTTTAAAGACGTTACCATGCATGCATCAAAAACCTGCAGCACTGGAGGGAATTTTACTCACCTCTTGATATTTTGCTAGAATTCTGCTGCCCAGATTTGCATTCAGATGTAAGGCAGGCAAAAAGCTTTCAAATGAAGCAACTTGTTCATGAAACAAAATGATGTGATTCCCCGTATCAGCCAGAGAGGTTCTTTCTCTTTTGATCCGGGGAACTGATGACACTGGTGAGTTTGTTTCTGGAGGGCTGATGTCCCTTCTATCTCTTCTGTGCCCAAAGGTGGGTTGTTTTCCTTTGCTGCTCCCCAGAAGCTAAAATCGGTGCTGTCAGCTGTGCGCCATAGGCAGGGGAGCAGAACAGGCAACAGGATACATGTGGCATAGTGGCAGGAGCCATCGGCCCCTCAGCAGAGAGGCATCAGGCTGTTGTTTGCACTGTGGTGCTGCTGTCCCCTCTGATCAGCCAGTGCCCTAAATAAAAATCCCAGAGGTTTTAATTTATTTGTGGTTAAGCAACTATGGAATAAAAATTGCCCCAATTTACTATAATCTTATTTTTAGTATAAATTTAGTTGACATAGTTCTCAGTATCCTCACTAGACTACTTCAATGAACCTTTCCTTCTACTCCATTAAGAAAAATCTGCTGTTACCCTGTGCTCCTGTAATTTCCTAAACCACTTAAAGCAGAATGTTCCCTGTGGGTGCATGGGCATTTGCTTTTGCATCTTCAAGCCCCAGAACTCTGGGCCCTGCAAGACATTGCTGACCTGATGTGGGTCAGCAACCTGTGCTCAGCAGGGTATTTTGGGAGGTTGAAGCCAAACATGATTTCAGTTTCTGCAAGAAATGACACTTGTGGCTGCTGCCCTTTAAAGTTAGTGCATGCAGGGAGGAGGTTGTTGGTGGGGTTTAGTGTTTCTAATTTTTTTGTCTTCTTGCAGGGAATGGTGAGCTGAGCAACAAGGAGTTTGTTGCCATAATGAAGCAGCGCCTTATGAGAGGCTTGGAGAAGCCCAAGGACATGGGCTTCACACGACTCATGCGGGCAATGTGGAAATGTGCCCAGGAGACAGCGTGGGACTTTGCCATGCCCAAGCACTAGTGGGGTCAGGCAGGAGTGCCCAGGTTCCCTGTCACAGCCCTGCCACCACTGCCTGCAGACACCTGTTGGATGGCACCAGGCTCTGGCAAGCCCAGACTGTTCATAACAGGAGATTTTTGTAAATCAAAGTTAGAAATGAAAGCCTGTTGTATTTGCAGCTTCTGCTTGCTGCTGATGTGCCTCTCAGGAAAAAGAAAAGGACTTTTGAGTCACCACCCCTGCTTTGTGATGAGCCTTGCCTGCACACCTGGGCATGGAGCAGTCTTGTGGGGCTACACCCAAATCACTTATTTAATGTTATTACAAAATGGCATGGGGTTTATTTTAATTTCTTAGATCGCTCGTTAGTGGTGGGACCTAGGAGCGGACGCTGGAGCAGCCAGCTGGTGAAAGCCACCGCAGGGTTTTGGTTGGCTGAGTGCTCTATGCTCCCCCAGGCTTTTGAGGAAGGGTGGACAGGACAGATGCATCCACAAGAGGGCTGCCTGAGCCAAGGTGCTGCCTCTGGTGGAAGAACAGTTAAAGACCAACTGGCTCGCCCACCCATCCTGCCTTGCATAACCAGCCTGCTGCCAGCGAGATATCCTTCTCTGAGGGGAATTGTTCTGTAACAGGAGTAGCCTGAAAGACGTTATTTGCCAAGTGTTGTCCTCTCTGTATCATGTAAAGATGTTGCTCATAACATGGCCTGTGGCTTGTCTCTTTTGACTGATTCATGTCTTCACTTCAGGATGCTGGCAAGTCACCAGAGATGGGGTGTTTGGAAGGAGGATTAAAAAACCATGACTTTCCAGCACTAGAAAGCCTAGAGCTGCTGTGTTGCATCTACTCTCGGGTAGCACGTTCTGTTCAGGTGCTGTCCTCTGGACTGTCACGTTACCCGGGCGGGTGCTTGGTGGCAGGCTTTGCTCATCCTGCCTGCAGTGATGGTTATTCTGCCCGTCCCGCCTGCTCCCCACAGCCCTCCGCGGAGCCGTCACCGTCTTGACACCATTCGGTCCTCTTCCGAGAGCGGGAGTAGGAGCAGGTGCCGCCGTTCCGCCCGCCGTACCCAACGGCTGGTGGTGCCCGGGCACCGATGGCGGGGCCTGGCTCCGCCCCAATGACACCGGGCGACGATGACGCCATCAGGCCGCGCACGGCCCCGCCCCTTTCCCCCCTCACCCCCCACCCGCGCGGCTGCCTCCGCCGCCATGGAGTCGAACAGGGACGAGGCGGAGCGGTGCATCGGTATTGCGCTGGCTGCCGCCAAGGCCAACCAGCCCGACAAGGCCCGCCGCTTCCTGGAGAAGGCGCAGCGCTTGTACCCCTCGCCTCGGGTCCGCGGTGAGAGCCCGGTGGGGAGCTGGGGGGGGGGCGGCGGGGGACCCGGGGGAGCTGGGCCTGCGCCGCCGCCGCCGCGGCTGACCTCTCACCTGCACAGCGCCTGCGCCGAAGGGGGTGGGCTCGTGGGGCACGCCGGGTAGACGAGTCCGCTGTGGGGGGGGCGGTGTGTGCGCGGCCGCTCCCAGAGGGTTTAGCGGCGGCCGGGGTGCGCCGCCGTGAGGGGCTGGAGGTGCGTGTGGGGGTCCGTAGTGTGTATGTGTATGTGTATGTGTGCCCCAGCCCGGGGGGACGGGAGGGTCACGGACCCCTCGGCGCTGCTGCCTGCCGGAGCCAGCCTGTTACCGGCTGCGTGCCATTCCCCTCGGTCGCCCCTCGGCTCTTGTAGCTCACTAGGGCGGGCGTGAGGGTGCGAGGGAGGTGTCCGTCCAGAGGGGAAGGCGGGAAGAGGCACGGTTCGAGCGTAGCTCGGTGGCTTCATTTTCTCCATAAGAGCTTGCTGGTTTTGTGCCCCACACCCGCGGTTATGGCCACGCGTGGGAGCGTCGCTGCGAGGATGTCGTTGGCAGGGGCCGAAGGGGCTTGGTGAGGGGGAAGGAAGTTCTCGGTCGGGCTGCAGAAAGCCCGTCTCCTTCCTGCTCTTCATCCTCTCACATTTGGTTTGCCTTCACCTCCATCCTTCCCTCAGGGTGCAGCCGTGCTGGCCCTGCTGGAGGATCCCCGCCTTGTGCATCTCAGCCCCAGGAGCAGTGGGCATCGGTCTCACACAGACTGACGTTTGAGCATTACTTGGCGTCCCAGCTCTCCTGCTCAGCAAGTGTGGCTCCTCATTTCGAATGCCGCCATTGATTACCACGGACCAGCTACTGCATTTCATTACAGCGCACATTAAAAAAAACATCTTCCTCCTTGAAGATCTTATGCTAGTTCTGTAGGTTTTGAGGAACAATCTCATTTCCTGGAAGCTTTATGGCCTACATAACTAATATGTCACAAAAGCAACTGGGAAGTGGTTTGCAGAAGCAGCCAGGCAGTTCTTTCTCCATGTGTTCTTATGTTGCAGAAATTTATGCAAAGGGTTGTGGATTTTTTATTACTATTATTTTCTTTTTTTACTTTGACACACCTTACCTGAGTTTTCATTCTTCAGCTGTGTTTTGCAGCTTCTCTGCCCTATGAAGAGCCCAAGGCTTTCCCTGTTGCAGAAGGTCTCTTCCCATTCCCTCAAACGTAGCGCGTTAGGTTGTCGCATGTGTGGCGTGGGTTTTTTTTGCATTCAGAGTTCATACTTTTTCAAAATTGCTGGGTAGGAAAAGTAACTTCTGGAGGCAAAAGCATGGCCTAGTACACAGAAAAGCCCACCCTGACCAGCATTCTTCCTGAGGAGCTCTACTAGGGCATGAGCCAGAAAAGCAGATCTGGATGACAGCAAGCACCAGTTTGCAGTATAAAGCCATCAGGGTTTGCCCTACTCCTGTGGCCTAGGACAGCTGGAATGAAAGGTGGAATATGTACTGTTGGAGAAGAGCATAAGGAAAGAAAGCAGAGAAAAGGGAAACAGCAGGGCAGGTTAATGTTAAATACACTGTGCTAATTTGTGGCCAGACCCAACCGTGCTGCTAGTGCAGCTGTGTGAGCTGCTGTCCGAGGACCTTTCGCTTGATGTCCTGCCGGTTGCTTGCCTGTGCACTTTGGGTGTATAGTTGGGAAATGTTGCCAAAGATCTCACAGTTACACTGTGGTCATTGAGTCTTTACATAGTTTGTGCACCCTTGGGAAATTTCTTCTCTTTCTCAGGAGTTACACTGGGTTTGGCAATGATCTGCCATGTGGACCTTGCTCAGGCGGCACTTACAGACTCTGACCCTAGCTGGGTCCTACAGGTGTCATCACAGGATCAGAAAAGGGTTTTGCAGGGGAATGTCAGCAAAAACCTTCTACACTGCCACAACATGGGACACAAAGTCACACTGGTCACCTGGAAGCAGGAATTTTGGAAAAATTAGCAGAAGTTGGACAAATGCTGCCTAACAAGTGAGGAAGAGTGACCCACAGCACATATGTGGTTGGGAGCTGAGGTAGCAGAACTGAAAACTCATTCAGAGTAGTCTCTGCTTTAGTAGTTCATGAATTTCTGCTGTGCTGCCATTCCACAGAGGGCCAGTGTGGCTTTGGGATGTTGATGCAATAGGATTGGGGCTGTAGAGCAAAACAGGACTGAAATGAGGCCATATGTGGACTTCTGTGGTTGTTTTGGGGAACTACATTACCAAAAATCTCTTGTCAAGCTGTAGGGAACTGATGCCAGAACATCAAGAGTGGGGTGGATGGTGAGACAGCCTCACAAGGCAAGGTTTAAAAATAATGGGGAGTTTGTTCCAGGTTTGGAAGGATCAAAAGCAAAGACTGGTTTGTGAGCACTGTAGTCATGTAAATATGAGCAAAGGAAGGATTTAGTTTTCTGAAAGCTGAAATCCATGAAGTTCCTAAGCTCAAAAGCTCGTTCCATGAGTTACTGCTTGTTACCTGGTGTCATTTTTATCCTTCAGCCTGTATCAATTACCGGTCTTGGCTGTTGGATTACTGAGTGTTTTTTTCTTGCCCCTACAAGCTGTGTGGGGCAGGTAGGATATCTGGGCTCATCTCTTGGCCTGCAAGTGTTGTTTGCACTTACATAAAGAACATAATACCCCCATAGTGCAAGGTCTGTAACATGCAATCTGCTGGAGGAGATGAAACGTCCTTCTCAGCTCTAGGCTCCTGGATAAGGGACTGCAAGCTCGTCAAGTTACTCATGCCTTTGCAAATAATATCTGGTTCTAATCATATTATTAAACATGTGCCTATTCTTTTTGGTGGGATGCAGTATATAAACTTAAGAAACTACTGTCATGAAGAGTTCATTCTGACGTATGGTAAAAAAAAATGCAGAAAGAGTTTAAACAGATGGTGCCATCCAGGTGCCAGGGAAATGCATAATGGTGAGACATTTCTGTGCTTGGAGGAGTCTCACTTGGTTTCACAGTGTTGTCACCTGTGCGGTTAGGCCAGGCCTGAAAGTTTGTCCCCTATTGGCTAAAAAGGATGGAGGGCAGTGTCCAAGCCTTGCAAGGAAGCCACAGTCCGCAGCAGTTTACCCAATACACATGGGCACCCCACTTAAGGGAAACTGAATTTATACAATTGGTATTCAGTAGTTGAGAGTGAAGATGGTTTTCATAGCTTGTACACACACTGGATATGGAGGTAAGACAGTGCAAGAGAACAAAGTACCCTTCTGACTCATGTATTATGGGTCTATTCTATAGGTACATTGCAAATAAAAGACAGACTAGGGACAATGTGGGCCCTCTCCTGTAAGCTATCAGAACTGGCTGCCCTGGATTTGGAGGACGCTGAGGTTCTTAATGACTTCTTTGCCTCATTCTTCACTAGCAAAGGTTCTGACCAGACCACCCAAGTCTTGGAAGGCAGATGCAGGGACTGTGAGATTGAAGACCTTGGGCCCACTGTAGGAGAGGATCTGGTTCAAGACCATCTTAAGAACCTGAGCATGCACAAGTCGATGGGACCTGATGAAATCCATCCGTGGGTCCTGAAGGAGCTGGCAAATGAAGTTGGGAAGCCACTGGCATCATATTTGAGAAATCATGGCAGTCAGGTGAAGTTCCCGATGACTGGAAAAAGGGAAATATAACCCCCATACTCAAGAAGGGGAAAATGGATGACCCGGGGAATCACAGACCAGTCAGTCTCACCTGGCAAAATCTTGGAGCAGATTCTCCTGGAAGGCATGCTAAGGCACATGAAAATCAACAAGGTGCTTGGTGACAGCCAGCATGGCTTCACTAAGGGGAAATCCTGCCTGACCAATTTGGTGGCCTTCTATGATGGGGCTACAGAACTATGGATGGGGTAGAGCAGTTGATGTCATCTATCTGGACGTGTGTAAAGAGTTTGACACTGTCCCACACGACATCCTTGTCTCTGAATTGGAGAGACATCAATTTGATGGATGGACCACCTGGTGGATAAAGAACTGGCTGGATGGCCGCACACAGAGTTGTGGTCAATGGCTCAATGTCCAGCTGGAGACCAGTAACGAGTGGTGTCCTTCAGGGATCGGTGTTGGGACCAGTCTTGTTCAACATCTTTGTCGCTGACATGAACAGTGGGATTGAGTGCACCCTCAGCAAGTTTGCCGATGACACCAAGCTGTGTGTTTTGGTTGATACGCTGGAGGGAAGGAATGCCATCCAGAGGGACCTTGACACGCTTGTGAGGTG